CATTTCTCTTCTGTTCACTCACTTTGCACTTTGTAAATTGATAAACATAAAACAATTACAATATATATTTTTGAAAGTATTCTTACTTTACAGCATTTTTTCACACCTGCCTAAAACTTTTGCACAGTACTGTGCAACCGTCGCAGCACCCCAGTGGTCATGATAGTGATCTGGGCGCTTGGCAACCAGCTCACACTTATGATGGTTGCAGCATTCTGGGGTCGCAATTGCCATTTGTGACCTTTCCAGCCAGCTTCTGGCAAGCAAAATCAATGGGGAACTGGGTGATTCGCTTAACAACCATGTGATTCACTTAGCAGCTGCAGTGATTCACTTAATGACCACTGCAAAAAGGGTCGTAAAATCAGGCATGATTCGCTTAACAACCACCCTGCTTAACAACAATTTTTCCAGTCCCTATTGTGGTTGTTAAGAGAGGACTACATATATGCCACACTGGAGGATGAACACAAGTATGTTTGCTTGCTGTCTGGGTGGCATTTATTGCATAAACTGGTCAAGACTCTCAGTGAAAGTGAGATGAAAATGACTAAAGTTCTGATTGGAATTTTGATAGAGTCTCCGGTTCATAACTGTATAATAAATATATAAACAAATTTTAGTTTTAAAAGATGATTTGGGGTGCAGGAGTTGAGAAAGCATTGTTCTAATGCTACAGTTCTATTGCTGTAAAGTAATGACATACATTTTTCCCAAGTCTTCCAACCACTGTGTGTACTGTGTGAACATAATACTGTATTTCTTTCTTAGTATTATATGCCATGCATATGATGAAGTAGACAGTAATATAAAGAAGTTAAACTGATTTGTTACTACAGTATTTAAGAGACCACAAATCTGTTGCATTACAGAAGTGTTATATTATTTCAACATTTCCATAAAATGTTAACTTTGTGACAACCTCTGAAAACGCATAAAGAATGAGCCCCCATTTGTATAAATGCTCAGCACTGTGTTATTTAGAAGAATATTTGAGTTGTAATTGCTGCCACTGGTCTTGTTATATAAGTTAATGCATAAATAAATAAGTTCATTTTAAAAAAATGCACTTACCTGCACATTGCTCCACGCAGCTTCTCCTCTACCTTTCACACAGGTTTCAGCTCTTAGTGGTGAACCCAGGGCGCCATGCTTGGTATCTGCACAAAGACCGGTCCCTACATTACGGATCTGCAAGATAAAATCAGTGATGAGGACCGTTTAATAAACAGCAGCTTCAGTGGATGAATTTTGTGATGTAATTCTTAGTTGAAAATGGATACAAAAATATGTATGCCAGGAAAACTGGAATAATTCCGATTTTTATATAGATAGATAGTCCTCGACTTATGACCACAATTGGGTCTGGAATTTCCATCACTAAGCAATGTGGTCGTAAAGCGAGATGTCATGTGACTGCACCACTTAGTGATGGCAATCATGGCACTCCCTGTCACCGTCATAGCCCCAAGACATGTGGGTCATTAAGTGGGAAGAGGTGGGAGTCCCAGGTAAGGGGCACGATGATGTTATGGGGGTAGGGGAGGCCTGGGAGGGCTGGTGCAGGCTGTGTACAAAGTGGGGGAGGGGGGTGCTTACCTGCACAGTGCTCCACGCAGCTTCTCTTCTACCTTTCACACAGATTTCAACTCTGCAGCATGAGCTCAGGAAGGCCAGGGAAAGAATATGCTGTGGATCAGGCTTCCTGGCACACCATGGCTCTGGAGCTACAAAAAGCCCCTGAGCCACAGTGCGAAGCCCAGTCCCAGCCTGGACCAGCAGTGTGCCACAAAGGGACTTCTGCAAAGCTGTTGCACCCTGGGAAGTCCCAACAGTGTGGCAGAAAGCTGCTGTGTCCTGGGAAGCCCCAGCCGTCCCAGCCCAGTCCCAGCCACTGTCGCCTTCACCACCCTGTACTCTGAGACCCCTGCTGCCCTGTGCTCTGCCTCCCCAGCTGACCTTCACCATCTTCCTCCTCCTGCTGCTGGCCTAGGATCTAGGCGCTGGGCGAGGGTGCAACCCTTGGAGGCACCCAAAATGGCAGAGATGGGGGAAACATAGGTGGGTGGAGGGAGTTGAAGTGCCCCTGCAATGGTAAGTGTGGGCAGGCTGCCAAGCTCCCAAATTTTGATCATGTGACTGCAGGAGCACTGCAATGGCTGTAATTTCAGGGACTATTCATAAGTCCATTTTTTCAGCACCATCATAACTTTGAACGGACACTGAATGGTTGTAAGTCGAGGACTACCTGATACAACCCTAAAAATAGCAGAAAATAGGACAATAGTTTTATGATTGAATGTATGTTAAACTGACATGAATCAGAAATATCATTGACCCATTTATCTCTGGTTCAAAACAACTCTTCCTGGGGCATATAAATTGTGAATAGCTTCCTTAAGATTACAACTGAGATTAACTTCTATCAAATCTCTCCTTCTAACTAAACCCCCAAAATCTTTCTTTCTTCAGTTCTCTTCCCTCCATAATTTAAACAGAGGGAAGAGGAGTCTATATTATCATTATGTGAGTGAGTGTTCTAAAGTCCAATCATCATAGAAACTAATATAGCAAATACCTATTTCTTGACTATATATATATATATATATATATAGAGAGAGAGAGAGAGAGAGAGAGAGAGAGAGAGAGAGAGAGAGAGAGAAATTAAATAGATAAATTAAAATCATATGCATAAAAACATGTTGACCAGACTTGGGGAATGTAATCAGAGGGACTGGAAATTCTGTGGTTACTATCTGCAATTGTATGCCAAGGCCTGCATAAATGGGCTGAGTAACTTGAATAAACTAACCTCTCCCCAGGCAGCTGCTGGAGGTTCCACTGGTGGGTAGAACTTTCCCAAGTCCCAAGCAACTTCATTCATGAACCACTTGAAACTTTTGCAGTTGAGTTTAATACGAAGTTCCTTCTGAGCAGTCACATCCCCTGCAGACAGATGTCGATATTCGGGTCTCCTTTGATAAATGTATTCTGCATATTCGTCCATCCATACTTCAGCTACCCGTTTCAAGTTCTACGAGGTTCCAATATTTTTAAATGAACAAAATAAAAAGTCTTATCATGGGCTGAGTTTAATTCTGATATAAAAGATAAGATCTCAAAAAAAAAAGTATTCACGTATATCTACATTATTCTGTTGATGCAGGAGAATGAAATAAATGATTCTGTGGGGTTTATATAAGTTTGAGTTTACAACATTTTTGTGCCAGCAACAAAGCATTTTTGTGATTAAAAAAATTCTTCTAAGTAAGATATTGCTGCATATTTTGTCAGTCAAAGGTCCACTGAGGCTCATAATAAGTAATACATCTGTTATTCTCTAAAGATGCTACAGAATTCTGTATTTGCAGCTGCAGCAGCAGCAACACTATATCTTCTACAAACATTGCTACACGGTATAAGATAGTTACTTAGAATACTTTTTTCCTTCTGGTTGACTGGCCAGCATATTATAGTACATTTTCAGAAGACAAAGCAAGTTACCCATACTGCTCAGTTTCCTCTTACAGTTGACTCCTGCATGACTCTAGGTATATCTCACTTGACAGGGAAGAGAGTCATAATATACTTACCAAGGACAGGTTAAGAACAATTAGTGACAAACAACTCTTCTCTACTTAATGTTTCTTTGCTATTGGTACATATAGGAAAATGACTATGTTATAAAAAGGTTGAATACTATATTTTGGATAGACATTGATCTCACCACAGCATTTGGCTGATATATAAATTGCCAGGAGTCAAGCTTGACTCAAAGGCAGCTTCATTTTGTGCAATTCAAGATACACTATTTCATAATGAATTAATAAGACAGTGAGCAAATCCACTAAAAATTAATCAAAATTTAACACCTAATTATTCAAAGTATTTTTGTGTTCAAAATATTTTTAAAGCTGGGCTTGTAATGTAGGTAGTCAAGTAAGAGAAAGAACAGTAACTTAAAGTTATTAAATGGCTTTTCTCCATTGCTTCTTCTCCCACAAGAGGGAGCACCTAACCACATTTTAAAATATGTTAACTTTAGATACCAAGTAAAATCTCTCATCTTTTCAAATGAATATTCACAAACTGAAAAGGAAATCTTGAATTTCTAGTTAGGTAGCATTTAGATTTTTTCATTGGAATGTATTTTCAAATATTGTAAAAGCTGGTAAGTTCTTCATTTTAGTTGTGCATGTGAAAATTTAATAACGATATGAATTTTGCATGTGTTTAACAGTAGCTTTAGACCTTTTACTAATGTATTTTCTTTAACTGACCTATCTTCTGCTTATGGGGACATGAATTTCAAAATAAATGACACAAGAGCAGGCTTCCTATATTAACAGTTTTTTACCACAGTTCAAGTGGATGAATTTTTTTTTAAAAAGACTGATTCATTGTGAAGATATAAGAACAGCAGAGCAAGATAGGTTTTTACCCGAGCCAAGCTGACTCCTGTTGGAACCTTATAAGGGACATATTTCCTGTAAATGTGGCCAACTCGAGAACAAGGGATATCTTCCATGCGACCCCCACACATCCATACCTGTGAAATAGGAGAAAGAATATGTACAGTTCAATTTTTTTGACTATGATGGGAATCAAAGCTTTTGAAAGCAAAGATAATATTGTTACTCAGCAAAATACACTTAGACCCTATCTGTTCTTCTATACTCTGCTTTCAGAGTTGCATGGACCGTATCTACAATTATTTAAGACAGCAGTGTAAAGATATTAGGCAATAACCCACACCCTTAAACTAATTTGGAACATGAGGTTTTTAGGACAAGCACAGTTTGCCTTATGTGTCTCAATGAATGCTGACCTTTTTATATACATGTTAACTCAATCTACTAATACATGACTGTTTTGTAATTCCCAGAGCATTCATGAAATAATGTCTAATTGTTATGAGGACAACAGAGATTTTCAATCTCCTACTGACGCACAGACATTTTCAAACCTGATGAGAGCACACAGGTATATACTATGCTGCTGCAGACCTACAATTAGCGAGGGTAATTGTAATCTCTTGTACTGTGAATGAACTGTACAGGTAGTCCTCACTTAATGACCATTCATTTAGTGACCAAAGTTACAAAGGCGCAAAGGGACTTATGCCCAGTCCTCAAAGAGTCAGCCGTCATAGCACCCGGTGGGCAAGAGCTATGGGCATGCGTGTGATGCGCTGCCTGCTGCTACTGGCCAGGTCCTTCTTTTGCATGCCGGCCAGGGTCTCCTTTTGCGAAAGGACCCGCCCAGTGTGCAAAAGAAGGCCCTGGCTGTGCTGGCGTGAAAGAGGACCACCTGGTGTGAAAGAAGGCCTTGTAGGCAGGAGGCCAAAAGAGCAGAGACGGGGGGGGGGGGGGGGAG